GCTCGAAGCCCATTTGCAGAGAGCTGCGAAAAAGAGTATTTTCAAGGCCTTCCACCACACCATGGACCTGCCAGAGATTGCCGTCAAAGTTTTCCAATATCTCGAACCGGTCGCCTTATCACGTTGCGAGCGCGCCTGTCGAGCCTGGCACGCCTGTCTTGCTGCCAACACGAATGCCGTCTGGGTGAGAGCCGCCGCCGATCTCTCGCCCGAACCCGGAATGTTGCCCGCGCGGCGGGCATGGGAGACGTGGAAGGACGTGGTGCGACTGAAACACTGCTGGGGCCGGACGCTACCGAAGATGGCTGCCGAGTCTCGCGACCGGCGCGGGGAGCTTGACGTGAGAAACGCTCCGACCGTAGTGGATGGGATACGGTGGAGTGGTGCGGGAGAAGGAGGAGAAGATGGCGAGAAGGTATCAGCGGATGGGAGGAACCGAGTGACGGTGATGGACTCGTACAGTGCGGGATCGTTTCGGGACTGCATCCAAACCCAACAAATTGGTCCCAATGTGGTGTTCACGGTGATGGGGGTGCGAGACGTGCGAGCCATCGACATCCGCACGTCCTCCGAAAAGACACTTTCGGTTGCACTACCCGTCGCCGCCTGCCACCGCGAGCCTCCGCGGCTTCAACGGGTGTTTCTATCCGACATGGTCCCGCTGCACGAAGGAATGGGGTGGATGAGTTTCTGGGACGCGCAGACGTTGCAGCAGAAGGCGCGGTTTCGCGCAATTACTGACGATTACTGCCAAGGCCAGTTGTGCGGGTCGTCGTATGCGTGCTTTAACCCGCGCTGGTCGGATGATGGAGATGAGGAGGTCGATGCGCGGCGGACGGTGCGGATGTGGATGTTGGAGGATCCGCAATGCCCGCGCGTGGCGTGGAACGCTCAACTTCCATCCCATGTTGTTGACGTGGCGCAGAATGGCAGTGTGGTGGCCTGTGCGTTTGGGAGCTTGCTGGACTTGGCGGAAAGCGAAGACGACGAGGATTCCGAGGACGATGAGCACCACCTCTTTGGGTTAGAATTCCGATCGGCCCGCACCGGCAACCTCATTCGTCCCGTTCCCGATCTGACGGGCGTTCAGGACATCATCTTCCTCACCATGACCCGCTTCCACTGCCTGGTGGTGCGGGCCCCAAACGACGGACAAGTCGTCACCATTGTCGACCTCGCCACGGCCAAGGTCGTGCACGAAATCGATCTCAAATTGAGTTTCACCCGCACGTACGGCGGCTTGCATGTCAGCGACGACGAGACGATGCTTATCCTGTGGTCCAGTTCCAACCAATTGGCGTGTCTGGATTTGTTGCGAGGCACGTGGTCCCTCCATCAACGAACGGTGGATGATGAGTTGTTTGACAAGTGGGCGTATGGCGTGTGGGTGGCGGTGGAGAAAGACCGGAGAGGTGCGCAAGAGAGTGATTCGGATGTGCAGCGCTACAGTGTTGTCTGGAAATGCATTGGCGGCATTGATCCCGCCAAGCGGCCTCACGCTGTTTTGTAAATAGTCCGACATGTATATCTGGTTTTCTTTGCTCAATCATCTATTGCCTCACATGAATATATTTGTTTACAGCTGCCAGACAAGATAGGATCCCCTGTTTTCTCCATCTATACGCTGTCTGCTATATTCGGTATATTCGGTATAATATATAGCTTCCCAATTTAGCTTCCCAATTTAAAACAGCTTTCTCCGCGTAGAAGTTGGAACCGTCGAATTGACTGTTCCACAGAGAGGTGGGCTGAGGGGGGCGAGCGGAGGTTGTACAAGATAAGATAGCCAGGATCTGACCCAAATATGCAGCCTCGCACGAGAGAGAAGCATGTTTGACAAAAAACGATATCTTATTTACAATGTCTTTACAAAAACAAAAAACTCCTTTTTTTTTATCTACAGAACATATTTAGCAGGCTTGTGTGCCGCCTCGGTCAAATCGACGACCGTCTCCGTGTCCCCCGCGGCGTGAGCCAGGTCCTTGCGATTCAGGCGGGCGTATGTGAGGCGGAGGAGGATGGCAAGTGCGCAGGTGACGGCCATGCCGACGCAGTTGACGGTATGGGACATTTTGTACGCGGGCTTGTCGTTCTTGTACAGAGCGTAGGATGCGACGACGGACCCGAGGTTCCCGACGGAAGAGACGAGCGCGATGGCGGTGGCGGCGCCCGTGGAGGTCTTGAGGTTGTTCGACAGCCAGCCAAAAATGATGGGGATAGTGGCAAAGACACCCGCAGTGGCAATCACGCACCCGGCGTATTTGCCGGTTTTGTCGGCAAAGGGCGTCAACGCCAGTACGGCGAACCCGGCGCATCCGAGCGCGGCGGTGAACACGATGGGCCAGGCGCGTTGGCGGGTTCGGTCCGACAACCACGCGATGGCAACGGTCATGACCGCGCCGGCGGCGTAAGGGCCAATGGACATTTTCGTTGCATCGAGGGACTTGTAGCCCAGGATGAAGAGGATGGTGGGGAGGAAGAGACCGAGGGCGTTGGCCGCCATGACGGTTCCAAAGTACATGACGACAAAAGCCCAATTTTTGTAGTCGAGGAAGACGGCGAGGAACTCGGCCTTTTCAATCTTCTTTTCGTTGCGGGCGATGCCGTCGACGCGGAGACGGGCCGAGGCCAGCTCGCGCTCCGAGTCCGAGAGCCAGGGTCTGCGGGTAATTTTGGTCATCCAGTCGTTGGCGAGCGAGTCCGGAGTGGCGGGGAGAGCAAAGAAGACCAAAACACCAACCACGATCGTTGGAATACCGGACGTGAGGAACAACCACTGCCAGCCGTAGTAGCCCCCATTTCCATCAATCTGCTGCACACCGTACGCCCACGCTGATCCCACGACTCCCGAAACGGTTGTGGCGACGTAGAAACCCGCGATGCGCTGCGCGGCTTCCTGTTTCCGGTACCAAAAGGTGAGGTAGTAAACGACACCGGGGAAGAAACCAGCTTCCATAGCGCCGAGGAGGAATCGGAGGAGAGTGAAATGCCAGGGTTTGGTGATGAGGACCTGGCAGGTGGTGACGATTCCCCAGGAGACCATGATGCGAGCGATCCAGGCTGGGGCGGGGACCTTTTTCATCATGAGGTTGGACGGGATTTCAAACACAATGTAGCCGACAAAGAAGGCGGCGAGGGCGATGGAGAATTGTTCATCGTTGATGCCCGCGGTTCCTTGCAAGTGGTGGTTTTTCTCAATGTTGGCGATTTTGGCGAATGAGACGTTGGAGCGGTCAACGATGCTGAGAAAGTAGGCGATGAAGATCATGGGCATGAGACGGATGTCGAGTTTGCGGACCAGTCTGCGTTCGGCCTAAAAATGTTCGATACATCAAGAGTCAGCCGGGGGATGTTTTCGAGCCATTGCGGAATGATGATGACCCACACACGTACCTCGGAGTAAATGAGTCTTCCTTCCGAATCAAGGTGCGAAGCTCCATGCACATGTTGATGAAGCTCGATCTGAGCGTCTTTTTTATCCGCCATAGTGTGAAGCAAGTATATGAGGGAATGCAACGTATAGGTGTGTGGGTAGGTGCGCGGAATTTAAGTGTTCAAGATACGGAGAGACTAGGTAGGGATGGTTGGGGAGAGAGTGTGGGATGTGTGGCTGTAGATAACGAGACAAAAAATTGTAGTCCGCCCTTTTATAAGAAAGTTTTCCATCCCACCGCCCCATCAATCTCTCCTCCTCTCATTCCTAAAACTCTAAACAATCACTCATGTTTGGGTCTAAGCTCGATGGAAAGACGGGGTGGGATCCAGCGAACCACAAGGAAATCGGTCACACGGGGCGCATCGACATTTAGCCGAACGAAAACCAACGGCTATGGTACTGCAGCGAACGGCGGAGAATGGCGGAGAGATGCGTTGCCCGCAACCCGATATTATATTTACAAGTCCCAGACTCGAGTGAGTGAGTGAGCGCTTGGGCGGGGTGTGTAAAGTGAGATTGTGTGCAGTGGGTGGGTGTGTGTGGTGTGTCTAAACAAGCCCAAGGCGGGCCTCTGAGCGCCAGATCTCACGGTACACAATGGGCGGAATGCTTCACATCAAGGTGTTGGGTTGTGGGTTGAGGTAAGGTGTGACAGAATTTGCGCCTCCCGGTTTTGCAAACGGGAGACTGGGGAGCGGCATGTCGAGGTCACAAGTGCCAGATATTATTACTAGTCCCAGGGGAGAACGGAGAGAAAGTGAGCCACACTTCCCAGCGGTAATGTCGCGAGTTTATTGTAAGGTGCGCTTGGTAAGGGCGGGCAAAGTGGACGAGACATTGTTTTGCGCCAGCCGCTCACCCTCCGTTTGGCCGTGTTTGCTCGCGTGACGAAGCTCCCCGCCTGACCCTTCCAATGTTGGCACAAAATGTTATTGAAACATCAGTGCGCGCGATGTGGGTGAGCCGCCCGTACGCATTGTGGACACGCTTGCCTGTACGCAGTCCGTGGCCGGCCACCACCCAACAAGCCAAGGAACTCACGCTCGGAGTGGTGTTCCAGAAACGCGACTTCTCCTACACACGCCACACCCAACGACGCGTTAGAACACCCCGCGTGACCACTTTAACCTTTACCGTGATATCGATAGAGTTGAAGTGATGACACACAACTTTTGATGAATGCGCGCCCTGGTGAGGGTCGCGTGACGGAGGCGAAATAGAATCACGTTTCGGTTGGGTTGCGGAGAGGCACGGTAGGAGATGGACTTTGTTTGAGCGGGGTTTTATAGCGAGAGTGCGCCGCGCAGGGGAGGAGATGCATTATCGCCACTTGGCATTGATTACTGGCATTGGGGTTTTCAAGTTAGTCATTTGGGTTCTCACCCGCCGTCATAGGTACATAGATTCACGTTCTGATGCGTTTAGTGAAGCCACCAATGTTCGCTTTGGCAAGTTGACATGCACCACTTTCTCACTGAAATAGATGTGATAATAGCATGGGCACGCAAGGACCGTGCATTGTTTTCATATAGATATAGGTGTGACAATTGGCTGCTCATCATCAGCTCGAGTAGTCTAGTGGTTATGATGTCTGCTTTACACGCAGAAGGTCCTCGGTTCAAACCCGAGCTTGAGCATTCACTATTTTTCCACCACCTCCTATCCCATCCGTTTTTTTGTTTCTTCGCATCCTGCGAAGTACCCCTGACGTACATCGAACGTAAAGACGTGGATGCACACCTATTATTGAGTGGTAAAAACAAAATGCATTGGCTAAACAGCTTTATGAACTAGAGTATACCAACAAACACAAAACGTCGTATATGTAAAAAAGCAAAAAGAAGAACAACATGGGGGAGGGGACAAGGGAAAAACAGTCAAGAAAACAACAGAACGCCACAAGAATATAAAAACAGTGAAAAAAAAACAAGCACAAAAGTAAAGCCATCGAAGGAAGAGCCGGGCAATCGAAATCAAAGTGGAGCACGGGGGGAGCCAAGTAGTGATATAGCACGGCGGGGGTGAGAGGGTATGTAACAACGGGAAGACGGCGGGAAAGGATGGGGGCGGGGGGGGGGGGGGGGGGGGGGGGGGGAGATGAGCATGATGCAAATGACGGCAAATGCTAAGCTCTCGCTTTACCCTTGTTGCTGGCCGGTGTGGTCGGGCCTGCAAGTTCCCTCGCCAGTTCATCTGCCTTCTCCCGTGGCAGATGCTGCATGGCATGTGCCAGCAGGGCTCTCAACCTGCTATTCTCCGCGTCCTGCTGCGTGCTGGCCGGGGCGGCGGTTCCTGCTGCTGGGGTGTGGCTAGCACCATGTGCGTGATGATGGTGCCGTTTGTTGACTGACGTCTTTTGCCTCATCAAGGCCGCGTCCCCCGCGCTGCCCACAATGAGGGTCGTGTCGGACGCCGGGTGCGGGGACGGCGGCTGGGTGTTGTGGTTGTAGGATGCGCCTCGAGCAGAAGGCCGGACAAGGGTCGTGTTCCACGAGTCTGGTGGGGAACTGAGGAAATGGAGGTCGGGCGTGGTGGGCAGGTTGGAGGGCAGGCTGGTGGAGGGTGCGGGTGCGGGTGCTGTTGGGGCCGTGGACGGAATGGTGGTGGCAGCCGACGTGGTACGTGAGGTATCCGGGGAAGATCTGGCGGTGATGTGGGTGGGGCCGCTGGACTGGTTGGAGCAGGGTGCATCGGGAGGGGGCGCCAGAGCTGGGTGGTGCTCCGAATGCCGCCGTTGGGTGGTGATGTGGTTGGGGTTGGTGCTGCCATCACCTTCGCCATCGGAAAGAAGGGCGTCCAGATCACTGGCCGTCACTCGAGGCAATGGGCGTTCAGCTTCCTCGAGAATCATCTTGACCCGTTTCTCGACATCTTCCCGTTGGACGCTGCGAATGGATGCCGGGCGGTTGTTTCCAGGCCCATTACCAACTTCCGTGCTGCTGCCACCATTCAAGAGCCGGTTGTGGTGGTGGTGAAGATGGGACGTGGAGGACGAAGCAGCATTGGTGCTGTCCAGCCAGGCGTCCTCGTCTTCCGCGATCGCAGCCTCAAGGTTCGCCACCTGCCTGCACATGGGGCACAGAAACATGATGCCCGAGCCGAGAAGCGGCGTGACGCACTTGTAGTGGAAGCAGTGGGAGCATGGGGCGAGGAAGAGGGATTGGAAGGGAGAGAGGCTGTTCAGGCAAATACAGCATTCGGAGGTGGGAACGTCGTGGGGCCCTGCGGTGGGATTCATGGCCGAGATCAGATTGCCGACGGCAGTGCGGAGTCTGCAAAACAATGGGCACAGAAAAAGAGAGGGAAGGGATGAGAGATGGTCATAGCGGCCACAACCCCCCAAGTGTGCAGGGGACCAATGATGTTGCAAGTGCAAGATAGGAGCAACCCAACGAGGCAAGGTCGATTTTTTTATCTTGTTCTGTCTTTCTGTGCCTACGTTACCTTTCCGGATTCAACCGTCGACTGACGCCCGTCTTGACGGTCACAAATATTTTGAACATGACACACTTATAAATCTCCTCCACGCGGCCCTGGTAATCCACCCCGAGCTGGACTACATCTCCATTCTTCAACGTGTAAGGGGGTGACTCTCTACCGGAAGGTGACAATCGGAGCCGGTTGAGAAAGGTGCCAGAAGAGGAACCGACGTCTCTGAAATACACGGCTCCGTCCCGGTCGACCCAGATTTCAGCGTGCGTGCGCGAGACGACTTTGGAGCGGAAGGCGACATAATCGGCTTTGCGTTTGACTGTTTTGCCGTCACTGCTGCGTTTCAGTTCGCCAATATGGGCAGCTAGCTCAGCTTCAGTATCGAGTTGTTGTTGTTGTAACTGCTGCTGCTGTTGCTGCAACAAACTGACAATGGGCGGACTCTCGGCATCAAACTCCATCTCCTCCAACCCGTTGGCAACGTTATGGCTGCGATCTCTCCTACTTTTGGTCTTGGTGGCGTGGCGTGAGACTTTGGTATTATGCCGGTCGACTTTCCGGCCAATGCGCACAATGCTGCCTGGGTAGAGGTCCTTTTCGACGGGGAGAAACGAAAAGGCCGTGTACGCAGTGTGGCGTCCAGCGGCGTCAGCAGCAGCTATGTGGGCAGGGCGGTCCGAATGCGGGAACAGCTGGATGCGAACCGTGATCTGCGATGACGGTGAGGATGGGGAGGGAGGAGAGGATAGCAGCGAGTCGCTGGTGGTGTTGTTGGTGGGAGCGTTTGTGTCGATCGGGTTGGGTGATGTGGTGGTAGAAGGCGCTCCAGGGTTCCGTGAGACGTCGAGGACGCCATTGTTGTTGTGGAGCGGCGGTGTAAAGTGAGTAACCGTTGGGTCCGAGGCCGAGGGGGAGTGTGGTGGAACCAGCGAGCTGTCGGCCATTGAGTCTGAGGATATAGAGGAGAGGGACAGAGCACAACGAGTGAGGGAGATGGGACAGACTGGAGAGACTGGAGAGACGTTGGAATGGTGGGTCAGTCAATATCGATATGGAACAGATATCACAGTAGTATTTGATCGATACACAAAGTAATCGTTGAGTGTATTCTCAGACTTTTCACCATCTCACACTCGGAAGTCAGGTCGTCAGTCAGTCACACTTTCACAATACAGAAATGCGCAGTAATAAAACAGTGGAGGGAGAAGTGTGACATTGCACTGACTGACTCATCGAGTTTTACATCACGTGAGTCAGTAGGTGGTCGGTGGCAACTTGAGCCATCTCGTCTCCCTGCTAACCACAACTTGCGCAGAGTTCGTAACTACTAACATTATGCTATCCGAATGAAAAGCATAGTGGGGAAGATATGAAGTCTCAGTTAGTATATTGGCTAGTATCCCCGCCTGTGGTGGGAGTTATGGATTGGCCCTTTTCGCAGGTACAACTAGGAACAAAATAATCCTAAAAAAAGTAAGCTCCCAGGCCCGGAGTCGAACCGGGCTCTCCCGCGGACTGCCGGATGACAGGCGGGGATACTAGCCGATATACTACCTGGGATCGATGGATGATGCATTGATCTTTGAATATTCATTGATTTGACTAAACGGGCGGTTCCTTGTCATTCCAATGCATGGCTGCCTCCGGTCGCAATGCATTCGCATGCCGAGTGAGAGCAGCAAGGACCCAGGCCTCAAATATTTTAATACAAGACCACTAATATGTACACATATTGGGACGCAAGTGATGGGACCCGTCTGAGACCCATTAGTGGACCCCTTTAAGTCTCAGGGAAATTTGAATAAGGGAGGAGAGAAACCGTCTTTAGCTATGGTATAGCTTTCTTAGCGGTCTTGGCCATACAAAGCGTTTGCCGCCACTTGGGCTTAACACCCTCTATGCCAGGAACGTGCTCTTAGTACTCATAATGCTGAAATATGGGGCTTAATGAAACTGCAAGGAGCATGCACCAATAAACGGCTCTGCTGCACAAAGAGCCAGATGCCTTCTTTATGAACGGCCAATTCTATCAATGCACTTTCGACAAATGCATACTGGTCAGGAAGGGCAGCGGCCCTTGCCGTTTTGTCGAGCAACCATAGTATAGTGGTTAATATACTCGCCTTCCAAGCGAGTGGCCCGGGTTCGAATCCCGGTGGTTGCAATTTCGCTTCGACCTCTCACTAATGACGTGGTTTTTATTTTTCGGGGGTTTTTTTTTTTGTTTTTTACACCCGCGCAACCCACTAAAGGTCAAGGACATAAGAGGAAATGCAATCCAGCGAAACGCTCCGCTTTGTTGAGCTGCCGACACGGTCAGCGGGAAATCCTTTTCGTTTACTCAACTGAAAATTTGGGGGGGACGCCGCCCAAGGGTTTTCCATCACAGACGGAAACAAAGAAAACGACTGCCATTGTAGCGAACGTATGATGGAGAGGCATACATATTACATATTTAAGAAAGAGCCATATGACAAAGGTATATACGAGTCAAATGATCGGCAGCGACCACAAGGCGCCTGCTCTCTACCGAAATAATAGGCGAAGGAACCCGTTCTGTAAACTCACCCGTACCCTGAGTGGCAGCTCAGAACCGCACTTGCGCGGGAACCGCAATGCAGTCCGTCCATGCACTTCCCGACCGCACCACTCGACCTTTTGCAAAAAAGAAACAAGAACAGAAAAAGACAGTGAGCCACAAGCCTCATCATCACCCTTCTTCATTTGCACTTTCTCACACACCACACGCACTGCCAAAACATAAAAATCAGGACGAAGAATTCTCTAGTGTTTTGTGCCCCAGCCTTGCGAGCCGAGACACGATTGTGTTTGTTCCACATGATATCATCTCGGAATGGGTTGTCTCATCATCTTTTCGGCGGCAGAGTGCGTGCGTGTGTGTGGGGTCCTCCATCCCCATTCTTCTTTTCCCGAGACGTCAAACAACGATACTCACCATATGTGCTTGCCTGTCGGACGCTGGGTCTTCACGTCGTTTCGAGCACGGCCAATAATCTCCGTTCGAGAACATCTATCCCAACAACAAGGAAAAGACAAAAAAAAACCGTTCAGTCACCCACATCTACATTTCCATGTTCAAACGACGGACGGGATCTCCCACATGGGAGTTTCTTTTTTTGTGCTTTGTATCAGTAGGAAGGCAGACATATGTTACATCGTCACCGACCCAGAGGTCTAGGACGCC